TACGAATTTTCGCCCTATCTTGCTTAGCTCACTAGCATCCAAACGTGTATACTGCATAATAATAATAATAATAATAATAATTATGATTATAATAATAATTTTCACAATTTATAGAGCGATTATTTACAATATGAAAGAGAAGATATCTATTTTCTGTAACATTATATATTTTATAGATTTTTACAATAAAACTTAAAAACAAAAACTCAAGGAAATTGCAAAAAAACTCAAAACTATTTAAGTTAGCAAAAAGTTATCCTAAATAAATGCGTTTTCAGGTTCCGTTTAAATTCAGTTTGTTTAAATGTTTGTTTGAATGTTACTCACCCCCGGAAAGTTTCCTGACTTCATTTGCAGTAAAGTTCACGTAGAGAGCATGAACTAGAATGTAGGGGGTGGGACTCGTCACTTTGAACCAAATTTTGACTTTGCCTTTGAAGTTCGGGTTATTCATGTCAATGCGTAAGGTGAGATCATAGTGATATGGTATCACATTATCAGGAAGCCGAATTCTCCACCAAGGCTCTGGGCCTGCTGTGGTTGGGCCGGGAGGGGTTGGACTTCCGCCTTCCTTCTCCTCCTCAGTCTCACCTCCAGGATCTGCGTAATTAGATTGATGTTCAGATACTATCGTTACTCGAGCTTCAGATGACATCGACATACTTGGCTTTCCATCCTTTCAACTGGCAATACTAATAGATTACGAATAGTTATAAATTAAGAACCGACTCTAATGATCTGACTTTCACATTTGTTCATCGTGCTCCTTATTTTACAGTTTTTTTGCGGGTGCGCCGTCATAATTCAGTTAAATTAGGTCAGGAGCTTGGAATCATTGAGAAATATCATCTAGGTGACACTCTCTGCGACTTATTTAGAGAGGCGACTAAAAAAAAATCACGAGAACAGCAATGAAAAGTAGGCCTTTAAAAGGACACATACTTTTATTTGATACAGCGCATGAAACTTTCGCTTTTGTTTTTACAATTATTTTCTAGAAAAACAAAAGGGTATTACAGAAAAATGATCATCCCAACATCTGCTGCGTCAATTTTGGTTAACACGCATTACAAAACATCTGAAATGTTCCTTTAGCTGTCAAAACGTGCGTTTTACATTCAACGGTTTATTTTGATATTGTTTCTGCCGCAGAGTTAGAGAGTTCTAGTAAAATAAATTACAGAGGAAACACTGACTCAGCTGCAGAATGGAAAGAAAGAGAAGAATACAAGGAGGACAAAACTATGATCACGAAAACACGTCGATTATGGGAACAAAAACACACGAAATTTTAGAAGAAATGAATATTCTGTTTATAAATAAAACAAGCCCGAGTAATCCATCACTTGAGCCATATTGCGGAATAGTGGAAAGCGATGTTCTAATGATATTACCGCGACAGAAGCTGACATTACTCTACAAAATGAAATGCAGAAACTGTCAAAGCTATGTTTTACGCAGGTTAAACCGGGTTTCAATCTATGGACCTGGTTGTTTTGCCGTCACAGACAAATAATTATTCATATCATATCCGTTTGCCAACG